TGCCAAGGAAGTAACCCCCTTTGTAAATGATTACACATAGAAAAAGTAAGTGAAGGGGAGCTCAACGACCCTCTCCCAAATACTAATTGCCCATCCGAGATTCCATATTGGATGGGCAACACAATTGGAGACTAAGGCTCCTTTCTAAAATACAGTTAGGGTGTGTTTGGTTCGCACATGGGAATCGGAATCGGAATGTGTATCAAATATTTGATAATAGTAATGAATTTTGGTGAAAATATTTTGCATGTTTGGTAGTACGGTGTAATGTAAATGATTAGGCTAAGGATGAATAATGGGATGAAACCTGGCCTTATAAAATAAGGGAATGAGTTTTTTCATTAATGGGGTATTTCAAACCCATAGTAGTGTTTTAAAAATCATTCAATCAAACAATAACAATCACTTTTATACCCATACCTGAGTGCTAAACCTGCCAACCAAACACACGCTTAATTTTTTTTAGGGAGAAGTGTCAAATAGGCCTATCTATTACGGTCAAGTGCTTAATTCCCACCACGAACTAAACTAAAGTCTAATTAACCACACTTACCTGCTAAATTTGTTCAATTGACTTTTTTTTTTTTTTTTTTTTTTTGCAGATTGCTAACAGGTTACCAATCCAATTATTAAAAAACTAATTTAAAAATAATTTAAAAATTAAATAAAAAAAACAGAATTTCATAGCCAATGCAAGTCGCTGCCATGGCCGAAGAATGCTCCTGATCTCTCTTTTTTCGTTCGTAATCGTTGTTGACTACAGAGGGGAAAACAATTAATTGTGGCTAAAAAGTCATTATGCTTAATGGACTAGTTTTTTTTATTTCAATAGGAAGGGGGAAACCCAGAAAACAAGAAAGTTTAAAGTTGTGATGTATTGTACAAAAAACGCCAAGAAGGAATTCCTTCTTTGTCATCTTCAAGGCAGCCTAGCAGCTCTTCAGGGGGGGGGGGGGGGGGGATCAGCACATGCATGCCCAGGGGAAAATTTCTGGAATAGTACGCAAGTCGATCCGCAGTAAAATTCTGTTCTCTGGTGATTGCTTCTATACGCCAGCTTTCGAACCTGCCGAGCTCTAATCTGCAGGCTGCCAAGATGTTATGTGCCGCAATACGAGGGGGGCCACCATCGTTGATGTATCTGATAGCTTCAGCAGAGTCACTCTCGATGATCATCCTCTTATTGCCCAAGTGGGTAGCTAGCCGGATTCCTTTTAATATGGCCCATGCCTCCGCTTCAAGCGGGGAACATCTCCCAATATTATACACAAACCCTTGAGACCATGATCCTATGCTATCTCGAATAAGGCCACCACAGCTCACTTTGTTGGAGTTGAATTGGACAGACCCGTCTACATTCAGTTTCACATACCCTTCTTGAGGTCTTTCCCAGCAAATCTGCTTCCAAAACGATGAAGACCGAGGATTCAGCGAGCCCCTGCCTCTCCCAAAAACACAAATCACTTCCTCATATTTGGCTCTAACCCAAGAGATTTTAAGACCAAGGGGTTTCGTATTGTTGTTAAAAGCAGTTTCATTGCGCCTCCACCACACAGTGATGGCAAACAGGGAGTTCATTTTGATCGGAGCTTTAGCATCCCCTTTTCTCGATATTTCATCGTTCAACCATACGGTGAAAGGAAGCAAACTTTTCCTCTCGAAGTCCTCCGGTAAGACAGCTATCTATAGTTCCTTTGCTAGCGGGCAAGACCTCAAAACATGATCAATATCTTCTGTCAAGTCACTGTAGGCCCAGCATTTATTGCAAGTAGTCAGACCTCTTTGCATTCTATTGTTATTCGTCATGATCCTTTCGTGAGCAACCAGCCAAAGGAACGAGCGAATGCGATTAGGAACTTTAAGCTTCCATATGCTATTCCACTTGGCTACTTCCACCAAGGTTGATTCGCCCGAAGCAATTCCATAAGCAGAACTTACCGTGAAGTTTCCAGAGACGTCTTTCGACCAGCCAATATTATCCTCAGCATCAGGCTCGTCTACAATGATGAACGCTGCCAGTTTCCTTAAAGCTTCCTCGGGTAGAACGTGGTTCAGGTGTTCCCAAGTCCATCCCCTTTCAGGACTCCAATAGCTCGCGACCATTCTTCCAAGCTCTGTCTGAGTCAGATCAGTGAGTGCCACATCCTTCAAGGGACTATTCTTGATCCATTTGTCCTGCCAAAACAGCGTCACTCTTGTTGAGCATCTAGTCATTAATGTGCAATTTAACTATCAGCTTAGGCTTTTAGTTGAGATGGAGCACATGCTTTAATTTGGTACCAGAGTCATGCCAAATGTCATGGGTTCGAATTCAATGCCACCCATTGGTTTTGCTTAGCTCCTGGTTCGAATCTCAATGCCACCCATTGCTTTTGCTTAGCTCCTTGTCACCACATCCCAATTTACCAAATGGAACCTTCTCTCACCTACTTTACTTCCCCATAGGAAATTCCTTATAAGCTTCTCCATGGAATCAATTAAAGCAGCTGGAAGGAGGGTTGTCTGCATCGTGTAATACGGAATAGTTGAAAGGACGGATTGTGCAAGGACTTGTCGTCCCGCTCTTTCCACTGCGTCTGCTGGCCATTCCATAGAATTGACAGTCTTGAGGAAGATATGCATTCATATATATTCCTCCTCGTCTTTCCACTGCATCTGCTGCCCATTCCATAGAATTGACAGTCTTGAGGAAGATATGCATTCATATATATTCTTCCTCCACACATGGTTGAAGCTAATATCATTCAAAGTGTCATCAATGAAGCTCCAAGAAAGCCTGTCATATGCTTTCTCTAAATCTATCTTCATGATTAGCCAACCAAGATTGCCTTTCCTGATTCTCATAGAATGTAAAACTTCCTGGTAAACTAATATATTTTCTGTGATCAACCTCCCTGGGACAAAACTTGTCTGGTGCTGGCCGATCAGCTTCATGGAGATATTCTTTAGTCTGGAAGCCATTGATTTCGTAATGAGTTTGTAATGAACATTACAGAGACCAATGGGTCTGAATTGCTTCACCGTGTCCGGATTATCCACCTTCGGGATTAGTGAGATAAAGGTGTCATTAGTTCCTTTCGGTAGGATGCCATCTTCGAAGAACTTCCATACCAGCTTGAGCAGACTGCCCCCGACTATACTCCAAGCTTTTTGATAGAAGCCTGGTGTGAAACCGTTAGGGTCTGGAGCCTTGCAGGGAGGCATGTCGAAGAGTACCTACTTAATTTCTTACATTTCGAATTGGCCATTGATAGCTTGCCATTTGTTCTCCAGTATTCTGGGAAAGTGTCCATGCAGGGGGGGCTCCTGGACTTCTATGTTGGTCTTCAGAAAATAAGCTAACAAAGTAATCTCTAACATGCGTTGCGACCTCACTGCCCTGTGAGATCCAATTGTCGTTCTCATCTTTCAAAGATGTTACTCAACCTTTCTTATTACCAGCCATGGTTGTAGCGTAGTAGAAGTGAGTGTTGCGGTCCCCAGAAGTAATCCACTCCTCTCTAGATCGTTGAAACCAAACCAATTCCTCTTGATGTAGTGTTTCCTCTAATTCCAATCTCAACTTCTTGTCTAGTCTTAACAAATCGGAGTGGGTATTGGAAGCTAAGCTTCGTTGGACTCCGCCCAGCCTTGCTAGGAGATGCTTCTTCCTTTGGAATATGTTCCCAAAAGTATTCTTGTTCCATAATGTCAACGCCTCGGCCATGGCCCGATTGTTGCATACTATGTCGCAGTTCTCCTTCCAGATACAATGAACTAGAGACAGAAAGGTGGAATGGGTTGACCAAGCAAAGTTGAATCTGAAAGGTTTGTTTGGAGCTTCCAGTGGATGTAATGATGACCGAATAAGTAGTGGAGAATGATCGGAGCTTACCATTGGGAGATGCTTTACCGAAGAGTTTGGAAATCTGAGATTCCATTCTAGATTACCAAGAGCACGATCGAGGCGCGCACCTTTAAATGTGGATGTGCCGGGGCCCCTCATCCAAGTAAACTTGGCTCCTTCGTAACCTAGATCCATCAAGCCTTCTCTGAAAATCCATCTGTTGAAATCTGCACATCTGAACCAAGAGAAGTGGTATGCGTTACTAACTTCCTGTTGGCATGTGACTGAGTTGAAATCTCCGGTGACAAGCCAAGGAATCTGGCTATTATTGTGAGAGAGTTCTGAGAACAATTGTCTACGAAGATAATGAATGGGACTGCCATAAACTAGTGATAACATCCATGGCTCCGATTGATTGTCACTGACCTGTAGCGAAACAAACTGTAGATTACTACAGATTATATCTATAGACAAGAAGTCTTTCCAAAAAACCCATATGCCACCCAAGAAGCCCACTGCTTCAACTCTAAGTTATTCATCAAAACCGAATTTGTGGCAGATAGAATTAGCATGGGTGCTAGAGACTTTTGTTTCCAGAAGACAAACAATAAAAGGTTTGTAGAGATTGCAAAACTTATTAAGAGTGCACCAAAATGATTTGGAGGCCGCACCCTGGCAGTTCCAAACTAAGAAAATCATTTAAACAAAAGAAGCAAAGGAAAAATGCGTTAAAGACGCATGTGGCTGGATACCAAATGCCCACGAGGGGCAGCGGGGCGTTCATCATCGACCATGGCCCATCCGGCGTTATAGTTCTACCATCCATATTAGGTGCTGGATCCGGAGGATTTTCCTTAAAACCATTCATAAAATCTGCCATGTTTGGTACTATCTCTGGTGGATTTTCCTTAAAACTATTCATAGAATCTGTCATATTTGATACTATATCCGGTGGGTTTTCCTTAAAACCGTCCATAGTACCTGCTATCATTGGTGATACAGGGTGAGTGAAAGCATGGTGAACCGTGGAGACAATGATGCCCCTTCCGCGATTAGAGCCTCGGACGACTGTATGTTCATCCTCAGCTGTTGCACGATTAGGAGTACCACCCCTCGCTCCCCGGCCTCTTGCTCTTGCTCTGAAGCCCCGGCGAGGTATTGCCACGGTTTGGTTCTAGGTGATGATGTGCTCCGTCGCTCTCAGTTCAGGACCTCTGAAGTTTTGCTCCGACTGTCTTTGGGGATTGCGATGATTGGTTCTGATTCTAGGTAGGGCCGTGACTGGTTGTTGAAATTCCAGCCCCATGTCCTGTTCGTTCACTTCCTGCATATTTTCATCCAAGCCATTAAGGGTGGAAAACCGCGAATGGTCCCCAAGACCTTCGAATGCTGGGGCGTTATTGGTTGCTGCTTGGCCACCTGCTCCCGCTTCACGAGCACCTGGTTGAACATTGTTCTTGGTTCGACCTCTTCTTTCTTTCTAAGTAACGAGCATCCAAGCCCCAAACCTTTCCTGCGACTTTTGCTTCTCCACCGGTGGGGCTGCCGCCTCCGCGATTTCAACGTTTTGCCCAGAGTTAGCCCCTCCTTCAACTCCTTCCTTGCCACAATACTCTTAGTGATGGCCATATATACCGCATTTGAAACAAATCAGATTTATCCCCTCGTACTCAATGGGCCAATCCATGAAATGCAAAACAAATTTAGACAATAAAGGTTTAGTGATATCAATTTCTACACAGATTCTCGCGAATTTTCCTATGGATGCCAAACTGGTCGTTGTATCGATCTTTACTGGCCGGCCTATTGTTTTCCCTATCTTCTTAAGGAATTCCTCGTCGAAATACTCTATTGGTAGCTCCGGGAACCGAACCCATACTAGCAGCTTCTTGGTCTTGTTCTTGGATGGGATGAAATTGGGCTCCCATTCTTGAACCACCAGATAGTGTCCCAAGATTATCCAGGGTCCCCCAAACTTGGCAGAATCGTAGTCTGCTAGTGATTGGAACTTTGCTATGTAATAATCGTGAGCTAGGGCGAATAATTCGAAGGTGGACTCCGGCTTCCACATGTGCTGAAGCCTTTGCAGGAGATATGAGTAGTCGACTGTCCTTCCCAGTACCCTAATAATGAGGGATCGACGCCATGGACGTCTCAACCATTCCTTCTCCTCTTTAGTAACCTGTATCACCGGAAACATCGACTCTGTGTTTTCTTAATCCATTACGTCATCATCCGAGTCCACTTCTTTGTCCGGAAGGCCTCCGACTTCTCTGCGTGTCCAAGCTTGATTCGGAGTCGCGTCTGGAGTTCTCCATTGTTGCGAATCTGGGGTGGAGGCCCCTGCTGCAACTGGCGTTTCTTGAGAGTTCTCCCTTGCATGCATCGGCAGGGGTGATTCTATTGCTTCGCGGCCTCGTTTCGCTTTCTTGGTGCTTCTTTCCAACAAGTCTTGGTCCTCTGGAGACCGACGGGTCGCCACCGGTGAGGACACGGCCGAGAGCGATTCAGCTTCCGTCTCTATCACATCGAGGCATGCTTAATGGACTAGTTAAATAATATTAACTTAGGATAAAAAAAACTAAAAATAATAATAAAAGTCATTAGGCTTGTGAAATTTCTTTTTTTTTTTTTAATTTTTAAATTAATTTTTAATAATTGAATTGGTAACTTGTTAGCAATCTGTAAAAAAAGTCAATTGAACAAATTTAGCATGTAAGTATGGTTAATTAGCCTTTAATTTAGTTCGTGGTGGAATTGAGCACTTGGCAATAGTAGATGGACCTATTTAACACTTCTTCATTTTTTTTTTTTTTACTTTTTTAAATATTATAGTTTCAAGTGAGCGGCCTTTTGAAAAACAAATTATTTTTCTCCAAAATGTCAAATTTCAAATGCTCCATTTTGCAATATTTGAAGTTTGTTTTGATTAAGTCAAAATGTCAAAAGTAACAAATTCACTAAAATATTGATAAATTTATCATTTACCATTTACCAAATAAGGAGTACCAAACAACTGAAACAAGCTCATAATATAACCACTATTTTGTTTCAAACAAAAAAAAAAAACAAAAAGAAGATAATTTTAGAAGCAGCCATTGATTAGCACCGTTCCTTTTTAGGTGAAATGATGGGTACATGGAATATCAAAATCAAAGGCGTCTAATACAAAAGCCAAAAGAACGGTTAAGTAAACTAATGGATCTCAGCGCCTCTCAGTATTACACTATGCTTATTTTTAAATGATCACTTATCATGTGATTACTTGCGATAAGTCAAGTACAATTTAACCATGAAATTTTTTGATTATCTGATTGTCATATCCTACTTAAAATCAATTGGTGGTAAGTAAATGAACACTAACCATTTAACCACATCTCTCCATAATAAGCCACAACGTCATGTCTCGAATCGAACAAGGGCTAAACTTGACGAACCCAACCATTAGGTCAAAGAAGAATGGACAACTCCACTTAGTTGGTCAATTGATTGGTAAAGTAGTCACAAGATTTTAAATTTGATTTTTAGTTGAAGTAGTTATTTATTTGCTTTCTCGGTTTGAAGCAGTTAACTATGAATAATCTACATTAGTTGACCTCTTTGTGATTTTCTGTCAGATAGAATCACAAGGCAGACTTCTCCTAAAACGCACCTTCGAGTAACGATTGTAGACTTTCTAGTAAGTCAAAGTTCAAATGAGAATAAAGTTGCATTCAACATAGAATGATACAATCCTAGCCAAATTGATTGGAGAGTTAGTTGGACACTTAGAGCATCCTTATCAGTTGAGGTTATTTCTAAGTTATTTGTGGGTCCCAGCATCCACCTCATCCTCTATCATCTCATTCAATTACAAAAAACCCTTCTCCACATCAATTTTGAGTTATTTCTCAGTTTTTTATGCACCCACCATTTAACTCACTATATTTTAATTATTTCTCTTACTTATTGGGACCACAAATATACCATACTTTGCATAAGAAATATTTTTGAAATAACTCCTCCCCACATCAGCTATTAACTTTGAGTGGAGAGAATTCATGTAGAAATAACTCCTAAATAACTACTAGTGTGGATGCTCTTAATTTAGTAACTATGAAGTTTCACATTTGCCAAGATCTTGTGGTCTAATGACACTTGGGTTAGATTCTTATATGAGAGGTTGTGAGTTCAAATCTCAATGGAAGCGTTAGCCCCTGCCCCAATCTAACTTTACATATTATTATACCGCATTTTTTACGGCATTGCTTTCATATGATCCTTTATACCTAAAGCAATTAATTATCATTAATAATATACCAATGTAAACACTACAGTAAATTATTTCCATATACTCCGTACTATATATAGGTTACTTATTTACTATTTGTGTCTCTTTCATTATTGTTTCACTTTATCCTTATGATTAATATATAATTAAAAGAAGTACTATACTAAAATATAAGCAATATAATGACATATTTCATAAGCAGTGACATATTACTTCCCCTCCAATCTTGACTGGACGTCCATTTCTTTTCACTTATTCATGAAGTAGCCCACAAATAAAAGTGTCTTATTTAATTAAGGTCCGTTTGAAAATTCAGAAAATATCTTTTGGAAGTTATTTTTAAAATTTTTTAGTGTTTGACTAATCAAAAGAAAATAAAATCAAAAGAATTTTGATCAATGAAAAAATGTTCAATTTGATGATTCTTTATTTTTTGGTCTCTCTCATCCATCTTCAAGCTAGTATCCCGACACCAACATCACCACCACAATCCCACTAAACAATATGAGTAAAATTTGTTAGATAACCATTAATGAGAATTAAAAATTGTTAAAGTTCGCCTTATTACCCTAGACAACAAAAGACCACAGGGAATTAAACTTGAAATCTTGTGGTTACCAAACTAACTGTCCGACTAATTTGGATGGGTTGTCTCATAACTTATAATAATTGATTACAATGATATATATAGTGTTAAATATTCTTTAAAAAAAATAATGAAGACTCAAACAATGTTAACTACGAGACCCAAATATATCATTGCCAATTTTTAATTCAATGCGTTATGATTCTTTGTTTGCTTTATGTGTAAGCTTTTTTAGTGTTGGATTTGACCACAAAAGCATTAGATGCCAACAGGACCTTTAAGAATAAACACATAATAGGAACTTTCGTTACTTATTTGAGTTTGTAGACGATGAGATTGGTGATGATTCATTCAGTTGGTAAAATAATAACTATTACAATACAAAAGCAAATTATTCTACGAAAACTATTCCTATACAATAGGCTAGCCACAATACTAATTTATTGACTTTATCAAATGTTACAGGAATAATAATAATAACAATAATATGACTAACACTCTCCCTCAAGCACAAGAAGGGTGCATAACCACATTGAGCTTGTCACACAAAGAAACAAACCGCGGGCCGGGTAATGATTTGGTGAAGATATTCGCCAGTTGGTCCTTAGTCGACACAAAGTTAACCACCATGTCTCCGGAAGCGACCTTGTCTCAAACAAAGTAGCCCCGATAATATGACTAACATAGACTTGTAGTAGTGTATGATGCTTTGAGTTTGTATTAGGTATTATGGTGATGATGTCTTCATAATATTCGAAACAAATTTAAAGTATTCTTAAAATTTCTGTCTTATATATGGTACAAGTGGCATTGGTGTCAATAAGTATCATAGACTTTCTCATATATAGAGTATATATGAAGAAGAACATATGAGAAATTGAGAATATATATAGTGATTTTTGTGAGAAATGATAATAAATTTTGTTCAGTCTATCCTAAAACTATCTATAATTCTTGATATATCTATGGGTATTAGTCTAAAATATATAATGCGAGCTTTTCACAAAAGGATGCAATTCCTCGTACTTAGCTTATCCATAAAAGCTTCTGCGTATTTACAAAAAATGCTACCCTGACTTTATTTTAACTCATTTGAGCTTATATACAAAGTAAAACCTTACTTTTTGACCTCCAAAACGACACTATTTTATCTCAAAGTAACGTTAATTTTACCATAAATTATGTGTAAGTTCTACATGTTTATAAAAGTATCACGTGTTTTTAATTTAATATTTTTTTTTTGTTGCGATGGATGAACAAAATTTAATCGCATTTCTAAAAAATTCTTTGTCATGAGATTCGACCCCCCCCCCCCCCTCTGGGTGATATTATATAGTTTGATTTTATTTATTTTGTATTGTGATATTTTTCACCAAATTTGATACGATGGCTGCTTTCATACAGTTGCTTAGAAGTTGCAGTCACTGCTCACTATTAAGCTAAGTTTACGTATTGCAAAGTATAAAGGAACTTGAAAGATAATTATTAAACAAATAAAAATAAAAATTAGAAGTGCAATCACCTATGATCAACACCACCAAGTCAAAATGGAATGCACCAATTCAATTTTAGTCTTTCTCATTCTTGTTTAATCATTTTAATACTTCAAAATTATAAATTACAAAATTACTTTCCGCATGTAATTAAATATGTATGACATTGGTCACTTTGACATTGAAAAATCGTTCAAATATTCCCACAATGCAAGGAGAAACATCATCATGAGAGATCACTAACATGGTTTTCAAGTCGCCCCTCTCTTTCGATTTTTTTTTACCAAATGAAAAAAAAAAAAGTTGAGGGACTAATATTTTCTAAAGAGTATTACTTATTACATAGTATCTTTCTCTCAAATATATAAGACCGCAATAATAGAATATTCGTTTGCCGACATCTCCTTATTTTATTGGTCAAAATATGAAAGAATATCAACTTTACTAGCAATTAATCATTATTCACCACATTAGAAAATAGTTGGTAAGGATTTTGAGCACATATAGTATAATATAACTCATCCTGAATTGTAATTTTTCAGCTGTGTTTTAAAGATATTCCAGCTGTGTTTTAAAGATAATTACACAAACCATCCATTAATTCATATTATATTCATTCATGTTACTACGATTTATTTATTTGTAAACATAATTTATAACACTATTTTATTAAAAAAAAGTTCCAAAAATGAATTTGAAAAAAAATAAAAAAATTTAAACATGTAAAAATTAGAGAAATAAGAAATTGAGGAAAGTAAAAACAAAGGAATAAAGTATTATTACAGTTCAAAAAGTCAATACCCCATCATCGGGATTCGATCTTGTGACATTTTTTCAAAGAGAGTTACAAT